CAAGCGTTTTAATTAGAAATGCACGTAACTATTCCAGAATATAGAATGTTTTCTTTGTACGTACATATATAATAATAGTAAAGAGTTTGTTTATTAAATGACAATTGAAAAGATGAATTAACAAAAAACTCGTACAACCTGAGTTATGACTTATTTCTTATTTACATTTAACAATTGTTATTATGTACATGATTTAACAGGAAACTATCAGTTCCATTGTAAATACAGTAAGACTGTATATATCTGGGAAAATTTTGTTTGTTGTAGAAAGGAGTACAATATAGTAGCTAAAAAACTAGAAATCAGTATTAAAGTAAACTTAATTCCGTTAAGTATCAATTATAAATGTAGTATAGAATGTATATATTTACCATTTTTCAATAAAAAAATAATTACATCCTTTCTATTAGTCACGAATAATGACTCATTAATTGCGATAGTTATTGTATTGCGGTTTACAGAGCAAGACTTTGCACGAAGTCATCTCTATGTTTCACATTTTTTGTAGCCAAACAGTTCAAAGACTTTACATAAAGTCGTTTTTGTAGGTATCTATGTTTGACTTTATTCTGTCGTCAAATAGCTTTAGACTAAGACTTTGTACAAAGTCATCTCGTTGGTATCTATGTTTCACTTTTCTCTGCAATTAAACAATTTCAGACCAAGACTTTGTGCAAAGTCGTCTTCGTAGGTACCTATTCACTTTTTTCTGTCGCCAAACAGCTTTATTTATAAATGTATAACTTGAGCTTCGCTTTCAAGGGCATATGGCAGTGTAATTACACAGTAGAGACATGACACCTTAGACTTGGCGAATGGCAACTAATGGAGTATTCTATGACCCTTTTCATGTGATAAGTCTATTAATATGTATCGATAATTTTTAAGAGATTTATTAATAACTAGCTGTACCCGCGACTTCGTCCGCTTGGAATTTTATTTTATTTTTCTAAAATAAAAGTAGCCTAAGTTACTCCTTATTACAACAGCTACCTGCCAATAAAAGTCCCTTCAAAATAGGTCCAGGCATTTCAGAGATTACCCGGAACAAGCAGACCGACAGACAGACTGACAAAAATTGTAAAAAATGGATTTTTGGTGTACGTACCCTATTTATATTCATATAGTGTGTAGTAAAAAACGGTTATTTCAATATTACAAACAGACACTCCAATTTTATTTATATGCATAGATTAATTGTAGACGGTTGTTCCTATCCATTACGTTTTGTCATTACGAGTACATGAAAAAAATTGTGTATAATTAACTGCCGTAGTATTATAGTAACGCTATAAAATTAATCTCTAAATTGACATAGAGAAATATAAGTGGTCCATTTTAACGCTGTGCATTAGTTATCTGTGACAATTATAATTATCGTGTCCATTCACGTATGTCATGTATTTTGTATTTTTTTCACAGTTATAGCAAAAAATGTAACGAAGTTAAACTAAGTACTATCCTTTAACGGTTTTCTCGGTCTTTAACAATAAATTATTAATAAGCAATTATGTATAATTGAGATTATAAAATGATTTAAAAGGACCAAATAAATTATGGTTATACCATAGACAAGATAATGATTATACTGGTGCATTCATCTGTTCTTCTGTCATAGTAACATAGGATTTAGAAAAATCATTGGTTAACTAAAATTAAAATAGTAATAATATAATAAAGACATAGATTTTCTTTCTAAATAGGAAATGATGAATAAAATTCTTTCTAATATTATAAACGCGAAAGTTTGTGAGTATGGATGTATAGATGTATGTTTGTTCGTCTTTCAAAGGAAAACCTACTGAATATTTTGATGAAACTTACAGTAATATGGCTTATAGATCTATAATTAAAAAAATATTATGTAAATTGCACGAAATCATTACATAGTATAAAATAAAGTCGCTGTCGCTGTCTGTCCCTATATATGCTTAAATCTTTAAAACTACGCAACGGATTTTGGAACAGTTTTTTAAATAGATAGAGTGATTCTAGAGGAAGGATTATATATATAATACATGTGCACCCATGCAAAGCCGGGGCGAGTAACTAGTATAATGATGAAAAGTGAAGTAACGTAAGATGCAGACGAAGTTGTACGTGTAAGCTAGTGTGACATAATTTTAGATTGCGAATTATACCAATTATAAAATATAAGAGTAATTAATATTTATTCATCAAATATTATATTTATGATATTTGGATTCAATGATTATGTAATTAAAATTAAATTTATTACTATCCATATAATTTATTTTCCGTAAGTAACGATTATGCTGATTCTTATCGGTTGTATTGAGTCATTTGCATGCAACATGACATAGAAAGTACAGTAGGCAATAATTTAACGCTTCTTGGACATACATATTTAAGATGACGGAGAGATGATTAAAAAAATGTAGATATATTTTATGTACATTAATTAAAAATTATAAGTATTAATATATATATATCTTGTAGATTAAAAATTTAATTGTAAATGATTATGAAGGAATAAAATAATAAAATAAGAAGCTTAGCGTAATGATATAAAGAGAAAAACTAATAAGAGCTCAGACATATGTGTATGGAATAAATATATATATATCTTCAGTATACCTGCCTGTAGGACTTTACAGTATCATATAGTATACACTCGGATCTTCTACCTAGTTTTGGTTTAATAAATAAAAATTGATATATAAACCTTATCGCGTATTAATAGAGTAATAATGCATTTCCATTTTATTGTACCTAAGAAGTGGTTAGATTCATTAAGGAAATATAACATACTACACCAGAAGAAGAATTCAATATAATACTTAATTACAGGAAAAATTTTTCTCCATACATTAATTTAAATTAAATAAAGATAATTCAATCAGCTGACCACCTTCTACTTATCTATATAGAATCGTAATGCTACCAATAAACCGCGATAATATAAAATGGTTAAGAATTAAAAAAGAACCTTCGTGCACCGTCATGCTACAACCCAATTATAATCAATAAACCTAATTCATCGTTTTAATTCAACACGGCACAGTGAGGGAAATCGCGGTTTTTGCAACTCGCTCGTGTAATTAGACAATTAAGCTTTGGTGACAGGCACAACAATATTATTCAGTAAATATTGTAGGGAAATTAGCAGTATAAGACTGCGTTTTAGTTCTATAAATCATCACTGGCAACACTCGCTGATTAAAGAGTTTACGGACGCTGTGCTGAGTGCAAGTAATGGGATATGACTTAATGGACGATGATTAGAAATCATCTATATTAATATAAAATATTAATAAAATATATATGGCATTTTTAATATTAATACGAATATTAAAAATGACATATATATTTATCGTTTATTTTTACTTCTGAATGAATCCTAATGAAATTTCATATATATATCAAACTAGCTGACGTGGTTTTTCCATATAAATTAAAATCGCTATTAAAGAATAGGGGTTGGTGATAGAAGGGTGAAAATTTAGGGTTGTATGTATTTTAATGCCACATTATAAATTTATGGAATAAACAATTTTGTTAGGGGTGGACAAACCTTATCACTTAGGGGTATGAAAAATAGATAGTAGCCGATTCTCAGATCTACTGAATATGCAAATAAAATTTCATGAAAGTCGGTCAAGCCGTTTCGGAGGATTATGGTAACTAACATGGTGACACGAGAATTTTATATATAAGATATTCAAATTCAAATTAATTTATTCATATAGGACCTTTCAGTCTATTGTGTATGTTATTTTTTAATCATTATTCATCACTAAAACCTTATTGCTGGTAAGTAATGTATAGTATAGTAATTCAGGTTTAACTCCAACTTAATAGCAACATATTTAATTAAATCATTATAATTGCCTGTCTTTATCCCATTATTTGGTGTCGCAGTGTGTCAGTCAACATCGTATTTAAATATCGATTTAAAATACCAAATTAGATGTTATAAAGATGTACTTATATATATTATTATGCATAGGAATGAGGCTTTTATAGTTTAATGGCTGTTTTTATTACATTACTTAAACATCAATTAACCCAAACATTATACTCTAGTGTACATATTACGGTGATTTCAAGTTTACTTACATAAGTTTATAGGCCAATGGAGCAAGTAAGTATTTAGCGATTAGATAATCGATTAATATTGTATATCGATTCATTCATAAACCGGAAAATGTCATAACTCAGTTGTACGCGTCGAGTCGGAAGTGATTGAAATAGACTGAGATGTAGCGATGCGGTTACGTAACATTGTTTCAGTTAGTAATTTAAAATTATAATGTTGTTATGAAATATTTTTTTTTGTAGTAAATACTTCAGTGCTTTATTACAAAATAATAAGATTAATAATCAATTATAATTTAATAAATTTGTAAAATTAAATAGACGCTAGCAAAATATTTTTTTGTGGGTGAAACTGGGTGAACTTGTTTTAGATATTTTCAAATATAGATTCAATTTACTTTCCGTTTTCAAAGGGATAGTGTTGGCTCTTAAAATAGGACTTAAATATAGTGTAGTGTAGGGTGTTTATGAGTAGCTTATAAAATTTACTTATAAATTGTAGTAACAATTTTAAGTAAAATTATTTATAAATTCTCAAACACTTCAAACTAATCTAAAGTTAGTCTAGTCTGGATAAAGAAATTGCTTCACATTCCTTATACCATATGGGCATTAGCAAATAGTGGAAACTGAGCTTGGAAACGGGAAATCGGGTGCCACGGAATGTGATCCTAATAGCGGCTTATGTGAATGCATCGCTACTTATTCAGTAAAGAATTTGAGTAGTCTAAGACGTTCGTTTTAACTATGCCTTACGTAAGCACATCGTAACTAGACGAGAACACGGAAACGTGTTACCGAATAATTCCGTCTCTAATTACATTAACCCATTAACATTCCGCTAGGTTTCTGTGATTTTCTGTACTCTTTCTTAGTAGTGACAGTTAAATAACGAATTAATTGTTTGTAAATGCGAAATTCACGAGAAATGCGCGCGAAAAATGCCGAAGGAACGTTCCAACAATGACAACTGCAATGCAATAGCGAGGCTCATAAAGGATTTCTGTAGCTGCTCAGAGAACGCAACGTGGTCACCAGAAATGACGTCAGATAAACGGAAAGATCCTGTCCTCAGAAGCGAAATGACCAACATGTCGGCAATGCGGAGAAGAATAATGACAATCGCAAAGAGAAAAACGAGAGACGTTCCACCGGAGCCACCTAAACTTTATGACCACGGTCTCGACAAAAAATCAGAAACTTTAACCTCGAATTTAATTAATACAACTATAAGTTCACAAAGCAGCACTTTGAGAAGAAATATAGACAATTTCTTACTTTCTAGAAGGATGTTTGCACTAGAAGAGGACATCTATGAGAAACCTATACCAGTTACAATAAAAAACTCGTCGTGCGGTGAGAATTGGTCACTAAGTAAAGCTTGGAAGAACAACAATGCCGATTTCTTTCATCGATCTCCTACTCTCGATTCTAATCGATTAGTTGATCGTAATTATACATATTTAGAACGAATAGATGAAGTTCCACGACGGAAGAAAAGAGACAAAAAACACAAGGAGCAACTGCGTTATGATAGGAATATAAAACGACATATTAGGATTAGAGTTATGTTATCATTGCGAATGAGGAGGTATATGAAGAGACGGCTAAGGAAGCCCCATATACAGCCGCAGAATGCTAACGTGCCACCAAGAAGGTTTCCCAGAGGAACATCTATCAATTCAAGTTTCGGTACACGATCCTATAGAAGTGTTATGACTGACAAACTAGGAGATGGTGCGGTTCTATTTGACATACACGAAGCAAGGAATTCCACTATGGAGCTATGCCATGACTATGAAGAAGACCTCGACACGTTGGAAATTGCTTTACGCGCCGGTAATTTTAGGTAAAACCTCTTTTTCTATATACTGCATGTACTAATTTTCGCACATTTATTTTGGTGTATGACAGAACGTACTTCATGTGTATTTATTAACTTATGTATCTTGTTTGTATTTATCAATATTATTTAATATATGCATGTGTCTTCTCTATATATAGGCATACTTAAATAAAGAAGAAGAATAATATCATTCAGACATAATTATCATCTAACTCCATAGAAAGACTCATTCCTTAGATATGTTTAGGCAGGGTAATATGAGTATGATTCGTCTGTTACAGCGCCTACTGAATCTCGAAAATCGAAAGTATAGTAACTTCAAAGTTATAAAATATGGTCACAAGTCCTGGAACTGCTCGCCCTCTCTGCTATGATAGACCCGCATGGTGAAAATATTATCATCTGCTTCTTTTATATCCCATTCATTTGGGGTCGGCGTAATATGTTTTTCTCTTCCATTCATCCCCGTTCTTTTTATTTACCCTTTCTTGCCATATAATCTTTCATATAGTTCATCCATAATTTTTTTGGCCTTCCTCAGCCCTTACAACAAACCACATTCGTTTATAATAGTTTCTTTAAAATATTCTCTTCTTTCCTATGTATTACATGCCCATACTAAGAAAGATGATTGATTACTCTTCAAACAATGTATAAAATAAAACAATATAATTAACTGATTTTAGAGATTATTTCAACTATATTATTGTACTTGCAAATAGTATTTAGAGTGAAAACGGATATATGTATTTAGGTTTGTTATTTATTTTGCGGAATGAAATGTGTTTTCTTATACAGTTAGTTACTTTCTGCAAAATATGATTTAATCTTGAAATCAACTTGAGGCACCCAAACTATTTAATATTGTATATTATAGTCTCATTGTTATGCTTTTTGTGATTATTCCTCACTATTTAACAATCAGTTAATTTTTCAGTTAGTCATGTCTATGACTCGTCGTCGTATATCTACGGAATGCTAAGAAATTCGTCTCTCGTCTCTTATTTGTTCATTTTAATAAAAATCTCGTCTCTCACTTGTTCATTTTATATGTTTAAGTTTAGCTATGTCTGGTCTATTCAAACTGGCATCATATATTTCCAATTTCATAAGGTCAAACACATTAGAAAATGGTCAACTAAATCATTCCGGATGCATGGCCGCCATACCGTAACATTAGGTACTCTATTGTCGCTCCCTATATTAATGTAACACTGTCTGTCTGTTTATACAGTGGACAATTTAATCAGACATTCATGCTAACTGATATTTAAAGGTCTTCATGAATATTAACCACGGTATTTATAAGTATATATTTCTTTTAAAATTATAATAGTATCAGCTTATAGGAAATTAGATGAGTTTTTAAAATAAAATGTCTACTATATAATCATTATATTTTTTTATCTGTACCAATATTATAAAGAGAGAGAGAGAGAGAGAGAGAGAGAGAGCGTACTTTGTTATGAGGAAAGTAAACTCCAGAACTACTGTATCGATTTGCATGATTCTTTCACTGTTTTTGATTATTATTGATACATATGACAGAAATTTTAAAAAAGAATAAACATAAAGTATTTGATCCATGTTGTGGACATTTAAATGAAATTGTTATGAATTTAATTAAATTTAAAATGCCAATTTTAAAGACTGCACGCATCAAGCAGTGCTGTTTAAAATATGTATTCAAGATTATAAATATAAACTATTCAAGTTTACTCTTAGATAAAACTAAATTCCAAAACTCAGTATCTGTTTTAGCAATCGTTAAGAAAAAACCAGTATCAATTCCATTGTATTTTAAATATACATATTTCAAAATGCGATTGATGCACTTCTACGCGTGGTTCAACATGTGTGGTGTCAAAAATATTGGCGCATTTACTTGATCAATTACTAAATCCGCATCGTTTAGTGATTGAGCGAGTAAATGCGTTGTAAGGACAGAGCTATCCCGGTTGTCATCAAAAGGTAGTGATATCAAATTTCTTTTAAAAACAAACTTCTTTTAATAACTTTTTAATCAATCTTTTTGTTAATCTATACATATAAATAAAATTGGAGTGGCTGTTTGTAATATTGAAATAACCGATTTTTGTTACATGCATTTGAATGTAGCAAAAAATACAAACATACGGTACATTCACCAAAATATCATTTTTTATCATTTTTGTTTGTCGGTCTGTCTGTTTGTTCTGGCTCATCTCTGAAATGGCTCGACCGATTTTGATGTAATAAACTCCTTATTACATCAAAAACTTAAGCTATTTTTATTTTAGAAAAATAAAGTTAATGTCCACGCGGATGAAGTCGCGGGCACAGCTAGTTATTATAAATATATTTTGAATGTTCTTTTCATTGGTCTATTCACGTGTTTCAAAAAAGTTGTCACGATTCGAGAATTAACAATCCATTATCCAAATATTTCAATATTCCACATATTGGAATATTTGCTAGTAAATTAAAATTGTTTGCCTGAGTGGCCCGATTTTCAGTTAATTATACGTACACAAACCGTAGATAACATGTTATTTAGTGATGTTTACAATCAGCTTTAGAAATGCAATCAGCAGGAATTTTATCTTGCACGCAATATCTTTGCCTCACAATGTATTTTACAGATTTCGTTTTCTGTATGACAGATATAGTTTTATCCTAGATGGGGTAGTCAGAGACGCTGTTATCTTGACGGTAGTTCGTGGTCTAGCTATTTAGAACACCTTACTTCCGATGGTCGCGGGTTTGATTCCTCGCACGGCACAAACATTTGTATTCATGAAAATTATTGTTTGTATCGGTATGGGTGTGATCTTTGTATAATATGTATGTATTTACGAAAAAAATCTATGTATTTGTATCAGTTATCTAGTACCCATAATACAAGCTTTAGCTAGCTTAAGTTGGGTCTAGATGGCGCTGTATTAATTGTCCTAAGATTATTATTATTCTTATTATTGTTACCTGCTGACGTCATCAAGTTAGCGATGAGCACAAAACTTAGGATCCTTTGTATGAAATCGATCACATGATTGCGCTCAAGTATTTATATGCAAAAATTACAGACATCTATATTGTAGATAAAAAAATGTGTGATCAAATTGTCATCTTCATCACATATGTATGGCCTTTCACATAAACAAGGCCGATTGCGTAAATGTATCTGAAATGGCAATTTATTCACAAATGAATAGAATCTTTATGATTTTGAACTCCAAAAAATAATACTAAATGTGATAGTGAATATACTATAATAATGCACCCACCATGGAAGTAAATTTTATTAATCGCAAAAAAACTTACCGAAATATGTTTATGTTCATAAAAATAACAAAAAAAGAAGTTAATCACTATGATTTGATTTTCTATAAATTTATATACCAAATAGGCTGTTCATAGAGTACTTTATTATCTGTATTTATACCACCATAGGTTACCTATGTATGTATTATAATTAACAGTGTTAGAATCAAAATATGACTATTCAAAAGTGCTTGTAATGAGTTTATTTGTAAAGATAAACATAAATTAAAAATCAAATAAATGAAACAATAACACTAATAGATATTATAAATATCTGTGGTGGTAATAGATTAATTAATGTAACAATAACTAATGTATTAAATATCTTGGTAAGATAGACCTTGGGTATATGTATATCCTAATCCCTAAGCAGCTTGCTTTGTAAGCTATGTTTCGGTTGTATCATGGGATAAGGCAGTGACATTACAGGATAAGAGGGATGACATCTTAGTCCTTTAGAATGGCAACACATGAGTGTTATCGCAGGCGTCGCGTATTGGCGTAATACATCACAGTGCTGTTCATATATTTAGGCGACGGTTATCACTTACATATATATATACTTACATATATATTATCACTTATAATAATGATAATAATAATAATAATTGTAAAAACATTGTATAACAATCGTTAAATATTAAATTAGAATGTAATTGTTATAACATATGTAATTTTTAGAATTAGTAATAAAAATTTGCATGCCTACTGTAAAAAGGCATATTACAGCGTTGCCTGCTGATATCATCACTGTGGCTTAATTGTTTACTATCTTGTCTGTAATGCAAATAAACTACTTACTTGCTTACTTACTACTTACTTACTACAATCAACCGATCACGATCGATTAAACGGAGATCATACGACGGCCTGAGCCAACGTTCGAATCCCTAGCGGTACCCTCAGACTAAAGTCGTATCTGTCAGGTAGTTGGTCTTCAATCGCTCCATAAGTCCTTCTGCTGGTTTGGAGTGCCATGTGCACTCGTCCCCTATCGTCCGGTGAAGCTGTAAAGGCTATCTGCGGCCAAGAGCATTAGAGTAGTCCGAAAAAAAAAGTTACAATTAAATAAGCCATCAGCATGTTTGCCGTTCTAATTGCACAAGAAAAAAGTATTTTATATTGTTAATGGATTATTTATTTAATGCCCATTACATACATATGGGCGTGAAATAAATAATCTGAATTACATAAGTATCCTCAATCGGAGCATTAAATACGGTTTTGTTTAAAGTTCAATGTCAAGATATTATAATGAGTTGCAAATTCGAAATTAATTTATATTCTGAACCTTATTTTTAGTCATGATAGAGTTTACTTATCATTGGCATATTGTGATATAGCTGAATTAGTTGTATTCCCGTTTTTGACCGGTTTGCTTGAAATAAGTAGGTTAGTTGAGTCTAACTCAGAACTAGATAAGTTTCTTAGCGTCGGTTACAGTTTGAAAACCTCACTGTGATAGTAATGTGGCCTAATGAATCCATTGCTAGCAATGTACCATGTCAGGTTGACTGAAACCATCGTGATAAGTTCCTCGTGAATTTGTCACGATGGGCTAACCCGCTAGATCAAGCGGGTGCACCATTAAATTATTCATCATTTCAAAAAAATCCTTTTTGTATAAATACTGTATGTATTAAAATAAAAAGATTAGGATGCATCGCGACCTACTGTTTATTGGCCTATAATTCGACGTAGAATAACAATGGTCGTGAATTGGATATTTATGACTAATTCTGTAGTGATGGAAACACTCATAACAAACTCGGGAGCCAGCCATCTCTTGGAGTAATTTCCGAGAGATTACAGGCCTCGCATTTCAATATGGTGGAATATGTTGTTTGTTGTGTTTACCACTACGTCTACAGTTGACAATCTCTCTGAGTACCCCATCGGGTAATTATGGTTTTTAGTTTAGAAAAAATAGAAAGTCTTTTAAATATAGTTAAAAAAATGTTGTACACAAATCAAAGTATTTAATGCCAGAAAACACCGCTAACAAACCTGCTGTTACGAAAGACTTCAGTAGTCTCCAGAACCTTCACATCGTTGTCGTTACTTTTTATTTCTCATCTGTACTTCTTATTAAACAGTAAATTGAAATTTATATGTACTTTACTTTCAGTGGTACCTAGATATAACACATGTATCAAATATGTTAAAAAATTAAGTATCTACCTCTAAAGTAAAACTGTCAACAGATGATACTTGATGATGATGACTGATTGATGATGAATTAAAAATATATAAATAACTATAATTAACAAACAATTTGGATATTTCAAATATCTTATACGGTTTTAAGTTAATTTTAAAAGTTTTCATTTTAAAATTAGAATAAAATTGTTTCTTATTTTATGTAACTGAATATATTATTATACTCAGGAGTACTTACACTAAAAATCAGGACTATGAACTGTATAAATGAGACACGCTCCTTGGTATTCTATCTATATTTTTCAAGACATAAATACAAGTACTATAACAACCTTAAAAAAACATTAAATATCAGAATTAAAGCCATTAAAAAATGGAATTCATTAAAAATTACAAAATTAGAATTTTCAGACGTAATAAAATATTTAAAGAGACTATTTAAATGGTTATATAAGTCACAAATATATTGATATTTGTGATTTACGTATCTACTTCCGCTTGTTTGATTTATACAATACAAACTAGTCTAGACAACTCAACCTAACTACTAAACGTAGGCAGTGCAACTAATTTATAGAGATTAATGATGCTTATTTGCATTAATATTAATTGGTTATTAAAATGAGTGGGCACATATTTTCTGGTTCTCTCGTTACATAACTTATTTGGTAACCAAATTTGTGGTTTTTATCTTTAAGGTTAATAAATAGTTCTAAAGAGACTTCCTTTGTGAATGGTAAGGTTAAAAATGTAATTTAAATAATCACAACCGTTTTATTATAATCAAGTATCATTAAAATAAATAATAACATACTAGTGCCATCTATGGACTAGTAGCGTAACACAACATGTTAGTAGCATCATAATACGTCATGCTTTCCGTGCTTCTTTCAGTGCCACTATTTCTTAATAGATGGCGCTGATACTAAAAGTAATCATGACGGTTACCGTTGATGTCTTTTGTATCGAAACAGTCTGAATAAAATAATATTAATGATTAACTTGTAATTTATTTTGTGAAACGCAATTTTTAATTGTAATACGTTTTATATCACTCCACTGGTTTGTGGATGTCTGTAGACTATGATAGATTCGCTCTGACTAATATGGGTATTCATTATATATAAATTTGTAATTATTTATTGATAAACGGTCAGTTTATAAGAATATTGTGTTTACAGGAGCGGTCGGCTAGCTGTCGAGGGCTGGTGGTGCGGGCGGGCGATGCCGGAGGCAGGCGGGCGCGCTAACAACGGCGCGTTGGCGCTGCACTATGCCGCTGCCCGGGGCTGCTTGGATTGTGTCAGGCTGTTGACGAACACCACACCTGATGTCTCGTGAGTACACTCCATAATATGTATTTATGTATATATAGGCTACTATAACCGTTTACCATCCGATGGGCCGTATGCTTGTTTGCCACATCGTAGTATAAAAAAATGTAATTTACTGTGTCTTTGTTTTCGTGTAAATATGCCAAAAGCCTTGGCCTGTTATGTTCAGTAGAGTTCCTACAGTCGTCTTTTATTTAGTGATGTTTTTATACATAAACATATAATATTATATATCATAAAATATTAAAGACTTTTTACATTCAACATGATCTACATGAATGAAATCACTCGTTATAAAATTGAAACATAATATTTACGTGTTATATTGACAATATATATTTTATTGATTATAATTAATAATGATTAGTCAAACTAATAAGACCTCATTTGGATGCTGGATAATAAAAATAAAAATGATCAAGTAGTACATACTTATTTTTTTTATTTATCTGCTATTGCCAAACAGATATATCCATTAAAATAAAATCTTTATGTTAACATATTCATAACATTAATGGTAACAGTATGGTGCATCTCGTACTGCACACTAACTGTACTATCACGGCGTATAGCGGACATTGGGACAGTAAGCAGTAATGTGGTCGATATTATCTATCCATTTAGATTTATAAACTAGTCCGCGATTATATACAGTTGCTAATTCATATTTTCTACTGTATTGCTCTAGAAGTAGTTCTATATTTTAAGCAAAAAATAACCATAAATAACCGTGCCAATTGACACAACGCCATCTAGCCTCACGGTAAGCAGAGCTTGTTTTACGGATACTAGACAACTGATATAAATATTCACATTTATTATATAAATACATACATACATAATATACATAGAAACCATGAATACAAAAGTTTGCACCAGGAAGTAAAGCGGTGTGCTAAACCTCTAGACCACCGAGCCTGTTATATAGGTAAAAAATATTTATATTCACAGTATAAATATTTATTATCTATGAAAAGTTTCTTTAAAAAATCGATTTCGACTGTGATAAAATGAGTATAAGTTTAAATTAGGTTAAACATTGGCTGTTGTACATTAGTTAACCAATTAATGAATGAATCATTATACGGACGGACAATCTTTCGTTATATAAGTATATACATGCAAAATGCGACATTCTTATTTACAATATTTCATGCTTGATGTTGACTTGTATTGAATGAAACGTTTATTTCATAATAACTCCTAAATATAATAATTGAAATGCTAAGTAAAAGTTCGTTTTAATTTTCGAATACATATTTTTTATAACAGACTGCCAATTAAAATTAAATAGACATTATACTTTACAAAAAATATTTTATAAATATCTTATTTGAAATTGGGCCAATGTTAATTTATGACAAAAAGTACGTAAAACAATCTAGACTGAAGTGAAAGTAGATTTACCTAGAAATAAGTTAGTCGGTGATTTTAAACTTAGTATGTTACAGTACGGTAGTAGACTAAATCATTTACGAATCCGCTATCTGTGATTGGGTATATTCTGTTAGGATAAGGTTATCATGATATTTGAATTAATATTAATAATAATAATCTCAGGACAATTCACACAGCGCCATCTAGACACAAGTTAAGCTAGCTAAAGCTTGGGTACTATATAACTGATACAGATACATAGACATATATATTTTGTAAATACATACATATTATACAGGGAGTACATAGGTCCCTCTTTGCCGACGTACATCAACACTTATGTTCACCGCTCGTATTTCTCTCCCTGCCCAGCTAAATCTGAAAGGAGTCGACTAGTCTAGTTTTAGATACACGTCTTAGTAGAGATCTTACTGCAGTTCGCTGGTGTGCCTTTCGCTCCCAGTTCGACCGCATATAAATTAACCACAGCCATTTTTTGTTAGTTAGGTTAATAGTTATTAGTAATTTGTGAATAAAATTAGGATAATTTCTACCGATTACTGAGCTTGTGGCAACCCTAATACTTTGAGCAAGAACTATATGAACGAATGCACATTATATGCCACTTTTATGTTCAATAATGATTACAATCACGCTTCATTGGAATTTCACTGGAAAAGAAAATGGACATATTGTCGATGCCAATTACTAATTATGAGATGCTTTTTGTGTTTCATGTACTTGCAAGTACATGAAACACAAAAAGCGTTATATTCCAATCCTGTTAAATGAATAATGATATAATTATTATACAATAATTTCCTTGGATAGCACCATCTAGTCCCGAGTTAGGCAGAACTTGCGTTTTAGTACTACACAATTGATATTTTTATATATAAATACATAGTGATTGAATTTTTTTTTCTTATTCCTCAGCTGCGTTATTTTAGTTCTGACTCGCTGTTTCGTCAACATAAATCCCTCAGGGATTCTCTAAAAAGCTGATTTTTTGACAGGTGTTGTCTACACCTGGTGTTGAAGGTCTTTTTATATTCAAGATTAATAGTCGGAGCTGTTTATTACTGTGTTTATCATATAATTACATTTTTATCAAAAAAAACGTTTAAAACTATATGTAAGTAGATTTAATTCTACATGTGATAAATGTAAACTTTGTGGAAGCTAGGAAGTAAGGTCTCTGGAAGCTTGGAAATTTGTTAATTAAATCTTCCTTGGATACTTCCGAAAGTATTTTTCTCCTCAGATAAATCACATCCTGGAGTATTATTATAATTTTTACTCCAGTTCGCTAAACGCTAATTAAGTATTAACAATTTTCTTCGGTCTTTTTATAGTTTAATAGTCTTCATTCAAATTAGTTTATTTCAAAAGATAACATAAAAAGATTCATTATACGAAACTAATATAGATACTCCCATGGAATATACGATCTTAATGATTGAAATTGTTTGATATACCGAATTAATTTTAATGATATTAATCACCTCGCAGGAAACATTCTGACTGTAAGAGGATAATGTTGAAATTAATATTAATGATTTTAATTTCTAATGTTTCTAATGTTTTTTTATTTTGAAGCCCACAGGAAAGAGTCTGATTGTAAGTCAAAAATATTGACTTTAAAGAAACCATAAACAGAATTCTAAATGAGTATGTAATGAAACAGCAGTGACGTTCACTTAGTGGAGAAAGCGTTACCGAATTAATTGCATTTATCCGCGATCTGCGCGCGCAATCTGCCATCTTTACACTCCGCCACCAAATCAGATCTGAATTTCGCACCACGGTCGGTGTGGCAGTCGGACTACCATGCAACTGCCATAGACCTAATTGTGTCATATATATCAACCCTATCATACCTTTCATATTGTTTCGTTAATTTTTAATACAGGACCCCGCATTTTTTTACATCTTAAGAATATTAGTTGCTGTTGAATTATATCATGTAAACACAGTAAAGAAAGTAGTAGTAGTAGTATGATGAAATTTTATGTGTATTTTCAGTAGGTCTAGAATAGGTTTATAACTAATTTTTATACCACTAAATGTTAAGGGTCACGCTCACCCCAAAAATTGTTTTTCAATCCTTCGACAAATTTTTAAGGGGCATTAAAAAATACATACAATCCAAAATTTTCACCCTTCTATCACCAACCCCTATTTTTGACAGTGTTATTAATATATATGACAAAACAATATTTGCCGAGACAGCTAGTTATAATATAAGAATAGTCATTTTGCATTTTAACCATACCAGATGTATAAACTCGCGGGCAAAAGCTATTGTAGAACTATAACAACTATAAATACAGAAAACCTGCTACGATAAATTTCCTAATCAACACAGATATTTTTGGATATTTAAAAAAATTAAATGGAAAGCAATGTACGGTTTGGTAAGTTGTCATGCAATTATGCACCAAATTGCCACACGAATCTTTTAATACGAGTACAATTTGTCTCTTGAAATCAATTTCCTTTCATTAGTATTACAATAGTATTATAATATATAATTTTAAGACAAATGAAAATGCATTAAAAAGTTTTGAATGTGTCAGTATTAAAAGTGGAGGGAATTTAGAATTTAGAACACCTATACTTTTTCATAAGTGACAATAATATTTTTAAAATAAATAAGGCCAGGTACTCCACAGGCCAAAATAAACATGAGCGGTTTAGTGGCAAATGAGTGCCGCACGAATCTTTTAATATATAAATACAATCAGTCTTGAAATCAGTTTTATTTTATAAGTTTCATTATGTAAGCCACATGTCAAATATTAAGACTTTGAAAATATGTTTTGAATATGTCAGAATTTAAAGTGGAGGGAATTTTGAATTTAGAACACCTATATACTAATATTTTTAAAATAAATATGGCTAATTACACCACAGAGCAAATAACACGCACGGTTCAATGTCCTTATCAGGACGAAACATTTAAAATAGGTCTATGCAATAAACGCATATGAATGTTTGCTATCTTGAACAATGTAATTACGCAAATTATAAATAGGTTTGGCTGGTTGTAAAAAAAATAAAATATGTTTTAATCTTTCTACGTATCATGGTAAAGATTTCATTTGGCATCATTTCATTGAAATGAGGTAGGCAATAGGTCTGTAAAACCATTTTTATGTATGGATTATTTGCAAGTAATTGTTTGTATAAATTAAATTTCAAAGTTTTGTTCCCAATTAAAACAATTTTTGTATGAAACTGTGTACAAGCTCATTTTCTAAACCATTGTAGGTTATATAAATTATTATAAGGTTTAATTGTCAATTAAAGTCAAGTATTATAAGAAGTAGTGATAATTACACTGTGCATATGTCCACATACATAGGTAGTGTCATGTCAATTGAAAGCACCCCCATAATAGCGAAGTACGAGTAACTGCAGTCGAAGTAACACGCAGTGGTACGAATTAAGCAATTAGCAAGAATACTTGTGAACAACCGGAGCGTTGCCTGTATGCTGTTTCGAAATGTCTGTACTATGGATAATTCCGTTGAATAATTTGTATTTAGCCTTATAAATTAACTACTAATACGGCATTTTACGTTTTGAAAGGTGACCTCAAGTTAATTCAATAAAAAACAGTT